CCTTAACTTTAAGGTTTGTTGTTGTTGTTAAGTGCTGTCAAGTCGGTTCTGACTTATGGCAGCCCTGTATAGGGCTTCTGTGGAGTGGCTGGTGAGCTTGAACCACCAACCTCATGGCTCAAATGACTTTGTAGTCAAGTGCATTAACCCACAGTGCCACACCAGGTTAGGAAACTCTAAAGTAGACAAGTTAGTGAAAGCTTTTAATTTCGATATCAACCCTTGAAGTTCTGGGGTAAGTAAGATAGAATGGATCAGGCTCAGAAGTTTTAAAATATTTGTATAAAGGTTAATTAAGCAATGAGAGGAAAGTGAGGAATCCAAGTTCAACAATTGCCACAGAGCCCTAAAAATGTCCTTAATTGTTTATTTGTTTTAGGTAAAGGGAAGACTGATATAGCTTCTTTTCTCTTAGGGTCAATATAAATGACTTTTGTGGCGATTAAATGACCTAAGTGTTTAACAAAGTCTGAACCAATTGTAACTTTTTTCTGGAAACTTTATGTCAATCAGTAGCTAAATGCTTTAACAAAAATAATACTGCCTTCTAGGCAAGTTTGCCAAGAGGTGGAGCAAACCAGCAAGTTCATTGACATATTGTAACAAGTTATAATCATTTTGTAAATCTGTGTACCTAATATGAGAAAAATACATAGGAGACTCAGTGAAACCAGAGGCTTCATGACCAGTTGAATTGTTGGCTGTCCCAAGTAAAGGTAAATAAATATTGTCTTCCAGGGTCTAGGGGAATACTGAAGAAGGTACTTATGTACAAAGATCTATGACAGTAAAGAATGCCACATCAGGAGGAGCATTGTAAAATAACAAATGTTGGTTCAGTACATCCAGTAATCTAGGAATGAGCAATGCAGTTAATTGCACATAATTCCTGAACAAATCTCCAAATTTATTGTGTGACTTCTTAATTGGAAAGATAAGTGTGTTTCAAGTGCTAGTGGAAGGGCCAATTGAGCCTTTAGAAACAAAAATCTTGAATTGTTGTTAGTCCTTCCTTTGTTTTTCATTTAAGTGGGGATTGGAGAATTTGGGGAAAGGGTTAGATGTGTTCACTTGAATTTTAACAAAGTCCGAGGACAATACTCTGTCAATGTCTGTGAATGTTGCAGTGCATAACATTTTGGGATTCTGAGAGTTAACTACAGGGGGTGGAACCTGAACAAGAAGAGCTTTGAAAGGGAGCAGTAATGGTTTGCATGTGGCAAAACCCTCTTCTTTTTGAATACTATTTATCCCTAAGCTTAGGTTGTCAGCCAAAATTAATAAAACTTCCCCTGTTTATTAGATTGCAAATGGTAATTTCACTTAGTGGTGCTGTAGGATAAGCACTCAACTGCAAGGTCAGTCTGAACCACAAGATTGGTGGTTCAAACCTACCAGTCACTCCTCATAAACCATATACTGGGTCACTATGAGTCAGAACTGATTCTACGGCACTTAATAACAACAACAACATTAAATTAACTGAGTGCCAGGACTAAGCAAAACAGGGTGTAAATCTTCAATGGGGCTATGAGCTATTTGCTCAGGTTGAAGCATGCTTGTTCAGTATTAGTAACTTCCACTATTTTTGAGTTCTTGTGGCACTGTGGATTAATGTGCTGGACTGCAAGGTCAGTTTGAACGGCAAGGTTGGCAGTTCAAGCTCACCAGCCACTCCTTGGAAACTCTATACAGGGCTGCTATGAGTTGGAACAGATTCAACTAGGGCACTTAACAACAGCAACACTTACTTCTCAGTAGGGGCTTTTGTAAACATGTGGGGCTAATTGCAGATAGAGTAGTTCTTGCATTGATTAAAACGTGGTGGGGTTCTCTATTAATGTACACAGTTGTTTCTCCTCGAGGGCTTAGAGTCATCATGGGGAAAGTCCCTGTATTGTTGCCAGGGTTTCTTCAT